AGAAAGCAGCTGGTCTGAGTGATGTGATCAGAGTGCAGTAGATAATGTCTGACAGCAGTTTGAAGAGGAAATGGATTCTGTTCTGTTCTTCACTCATCACCTACCTGACAGCTGACACCTCACACCTGTTTCTCACCTGCAGGTCAGACAGGAGGACACACAGAGGATGGAGGGAAGAAGGATGGAGGGAAGGAGGATGGAGGAGAGAAGAGTGGATCTGTTGGACTAATAGCTGGTCTGGTAATTTCCGCTGTGCTTCTTGTTGCTGCTGTTTCTGGATTTTTGATCTACAGAAAACTTAAGAAGCAGGATCAGGATTCATACCAGCCTCCTGTTGAAATGCACCATGTTTGAAATGTCTCAGAGCTTTTCCAAATGAGCTCTCAGTCTCCTGGTAATGCGTCAATTTCCCATCGTTGTCACTCAGCACAGTAAAAAAACAGATCTGAGGATGTGTTTGTCATGAAAAGAGCCCAACATTTGGTTTTCAGGGTTTTTATAAAGGGGATTTATTTCTGTGAATGAAAAACCGACTGAAATCCTGGATTCTGTTCTTCACTCACCACCAGCTCACACCTTCTTCTCACCTGCACGTCCTCCAGGAGGACATGGAGGGTTTGTGGCACTGGTAGTGAGTCTGTCAGTTTTGGTGTGTTTGTTCTTGTACCTAATGATTTGATCTGTAAAAAAAGAAAAGGGAATGGTGCTGAATATGTGATTCCTGCTTCTCAGAGATCCTGTTAAAGTCTAAAGATATTGGGAGGGTTTCACACTGTTTGGAGCAGGGAAACAGGTACTAATGGTGCAATACTGACTGATGTGTTTGTGGATATGAACTCGTACACATGAACATACCTCAGGTTCATATCTGCAAATTTAGGTCCCAGGACACAAACTTTATATTTAAAGCTTTTAAAGAGTGAAAAATGTTACATTTGGACATCTGTGGGGTTGGTGATGGAGGGAATCATTTAACAGCTCGTAGGTTTCTACACTTATGAATTAAAAATGCATCACTTTAAGAATTAAATCTATTACATTAGATGAGGATGACGGTTTGGGATAAAATTGTTTACACTCTTTAAGCTCTGTTTCTTAGTTGTCATGGTGATGCATCCTGGCAATGTTACAGACATGAAAAATATCTCAGAGTGAAACACTTTAGTTACAGTCATGTTGACTGTAACTAAAGTGTCATTTTTATAACTCCCTCTTTATAACTGTCTTTACTATGTAAAGTTTCCTAAATTTACACAAACAGGGATTTTAGACTATAAAAGGGAATTTTGTGCAGCTAAAAATGACAAATTTTGTTTTATGAAAACTGAAGTTAATGCTGCAGTGACTGGAAAATGACCTGTTCTAGAGACTAGACCATCTCAGTACCACTGACTTTATGGTATTTTTCAAATTTATTTATTTCCTTCAGCAGGTACTTGAACTTCCTTCAGTGGAAAATTGAAACAGTGTTACAAAAACTTATGTTTTACGTTTCCTATTTGTGAAACTTTGTTTTTTGGTGTAAACCAACAATTTAAACAAACTAAGTAATTTATGCTTTTTTTCTCTGGGTTTAGTGTTTTGCAAGATTATGAATGCATAAATGCTGTGATCTGTATTAAAAAATACTGTTGCTGTCTGTGGATGTGCCAAGTCAGCCACGAAATCCTGAAGGTATCAGAGTAAAAAAGCTGGTTTAGATTTAGTTTGTTTCTCACCTCTCCTCCAGGAGCTGCTGAAACAGTCCAGGTGTCTTTTTTCTGCTCAGTGTTCTGGAGGAAAGTGTGCAAGGAAGGAGGAATGTTGTGCGACATGTGTTGATTTGATCACTTACAGCAGTTTCTCTCATGTACTGTTCACCTGTTTACATTTTCTGTGAACGATACATCAACCACTGCCCGACTGTTACGGGGTTCAGCCTGGTGCAGAACTTTCCCCTCATTTGTTCCCTGGTTTAATTCTGTTATTTGTTTGATTTTAATCTCCCCGTGAATCTGATGCACTGAGCCACTGAAGTGGAGAACCAAAGAAATAAAAAAACTGGACTGTTGACTGTTTAACAGAGATTTATTTTTGCACCTTCTCACTGATTCCTGCTGAATCAGCACCAAAGAACACACAGCAAACCCTCTGAGCTTTGCTTCAGGTCATCATGTTATTCATAATCAGAGCGATCAGTGAGAAAAATCTGATGTGTGTTTACTTAAACTCAGTAAAAGGCTTCTTCTCACTTATGTACATCTTCTAAACCAGAGTGCGTATAGCACACGCTGGATGCTGACATTTATCAAACTGTGATGTCTGTTATCAGAGGATCATTCTGATAACACAAACCCCTCCAGTGTGTCTAAGGCCCACTGAGGAGATCAGAAAGGACACAAGGAGAGAGGAGTCAAGGAAACAGTCTCAACAGAACGAGACATCAGCGTCTCAGAGCTTCATTTTAAACTGTGGTAATTATATAACGTTAAATTACAACTAGAATACAAACAGTGCTCCAGAACTATTTTATAAATGAGAAATTCTTCAGCATGAAGCACTGAGATTGATTTTCAGGTAACAGGCAGAAAGACGGCGGAGACCAGGAGGCACAAATTAGAAAGAGTCCTCAGTTTTCCCGCCCCTGAGCAGCAAGAGCCAATCAAACAGAAGAAGGAAACATATGAGCCAATCATGTTGCACTAATTCTTCAGATTCCACTCATGATTCTGTGCGTGTAGTTTTTCAGTCCCTGTGAAGTTAAAAAAATTAAGTCATGTCTCTCTCCCCAATCACCTGTTGAGTGATGTTAAAATAACCACCCAGATTACATCATTTATTTACAGATTGTCTCAGTGAAATTTAGATTTATCTGTAAATTCTGTTATTTATAAAATTGTGGAATTTGATCTAGTATTGTTAGAATGTAAACAGCAGAAAATAAAGAGGAACAGAAGAGTGTAATACAAAGCAAGCTCAGCAAAGTTAGGCTTTCTTTATATTAGCCGCCTCAATCAAACCTCAGTCGGAGACACCAGTAATTAATAAGAGGTTGTCACATTGCTCCTTCTTCTTTTTTAGTAGCTGAGCACACAGCACAAACACAAATTGTGGAGAACAAGATCATTTTATAGAAATGGAACAGGATAAATCCCAAAAGGTTAATTCTGTTGATCTGGATGTTTTCAGAGGGCGAAACATTCATCCAAGTGACTTCTTAAGTTAAACAGGATATAAATAAAAGGGATGACTTCTTCAAAGAGTCCTCCTACTTCCACGCCTCCTTCTTACACACTGCTCTCCTCTACATAAGCAGCCTTTAGAAGTTAAATCTATCAGTTACAAAACTACAACCAACAGGTGGCAGCACACCACCTGTAACAGCTGACCTGGAAGATGGATGTGTTCTTGTTTATGGGATGAGCATTTGGATCCAGAAAACCAGCATCCATCTTTTAAGTAGCATGCAAGTGACCATGTAGTATTGGTGTTGAAATAAAATGACAAAATTGCGAAGGATTAAAATATTCCAAGAGCTCACCTTACGTCATCTAAACATGTTTCAAACGCGTTTTATCAACACAAAATGCACAGGTTTATTGAATATGAATAAATTGTGTTGATTTAACTCAGTTGTTTACGTTTCTCCCAAAGCGAAACACTGGTGTGTAACCAATGTCCACTATTGGATTAAGTAACTCCAACATTCACTCAATTGTGTGCCACTTTTGAGTGGCACACAATGAAAGGAGTGAATGAAACAAAACACTACACATGAACTAAGGGCGAGAGGGAAAACACTTGACCTCTGAATATAAACTACCTAATAAACTAACGCAAAGCTTGCGGCAGCAAAGTCCAAAGAAATAAGTCTCTTTATCTGGCTGGGAAAAACAGCCTGGGCACGACACTTGGTATTTTCTGGAGCAGGCACACAAAGTACAGGATGACAGGGTTTCTCTCACTGTCTGGGTGGAAGGTATGGGCTCAAATTGTGGTCATAAATATTTTGTACTTGTAAATCAGTTTTGTATGTGTAAAAAGAATTTGTGTGGCTGTGAGTCACAGTGCGCAGCATAAAGGTCATTTCACATCGGAGGCAGCATGTGCTGCTAATGCTAACTGCTAACTAAAATGTCTTGATGCAGTCTCCCAAAACCTTTGTGGTGCCCACAAAACGCTACGTCCAGATGAACAGAATCAACTTTTGGAGATTTAATTTCCTGGATGATTGAGAATGTATCAAGACGTTTTAACCCACTTTGGCAAGGACGACCTAAAGCTTGTACGTCAGTATGAGCAAACAGCACGTAAGATGGCGGACTACAGGAACCACCTGAGATTCAGCCTCAGATGCCGACAAAACAGGATTACTCCTAAAAGTCTGCAAGTGAGCTCTTCGGTTAAAAGCTTCCGAGCAACAAAAATCCTCCAGAAGGCACAGCACCAGCTGCTTAATGAACGGGTGAGGCAAACAATTTTTACCATCGACATACTAAAATCTCAAGAGGAGCGGATCCGACAGAGACTGACAATGCTTTTACATGAGAATACTCTTAAAAAGGTGTTTGACTTTACTGAGAAGGCTCGTCTAGCACAGCACAAGAAGTCTAAGACCAGGCAACAAAGGAAGTTTGACTTACTCGTTGTACGTCAGAAACCACCGCAAAATACGAAGTGGCCTCAGTGGCCAGAAGAGACAAGGATGCGACACCGAGGATGTGGACAAGTGGGTGAAGAATTTGTCTGACAGACAGCTCACCCAAACAGAGAAAAACATCCTTGCTAAAGGGTTGAATTTTGCTGTCACACCGAGACAAATCCCGCTAGAGGAGCTGATCACAGCCACAGAAACACCAATTCGTAATAACAATATTGCAGAACTGGAAGCAGAGCAACTACGGACGAAAGTTTCGGCCTGTCTCAGCAATGCAAAGCCCCCAGCATCCAACATCACCATGGAGGAGAAGAAGGCACTCACATCACTTAGTGATGACAACAACATTATCATCCTTCTGGCAGACAAGGGTAGGTGCACAGTATTGCTCAACCAGAAAGACTATCATGAGAAGATTTTGTCACTACTCAGTGATGAAAATACTTATGAGCCCCTGAAACGAGACCAGGAAGTGGCTACAGGAAGAGGGTGATAGACTGTCTGAAGCAGTTAGAACAAGACAAGGCTATTGACCGGACCTCATACCACAGGCTGTACCCAGGGGAATCTACACCAAGTCTGTATGGTTTACCGAAAATACATAAGCAGGGTGCACCTTTAAGACCGATTGTCTGTATGATCAACTCTGTCACCTATAACATCTCCAAGTTTCTGGCTTCGATCTTCAACCCGCTGGTGGGCAGCTCTGAGCACCACATCCAGAACACCCTGGATTTTGTTGAGAAGGTGAGCGATGTCATTATGGAGGCAGATGAAACCATGGTCTCGTACGACGTTACATCTCTCTTCAATTGCATCCCAGTCACAGAAGCTTTGGAGGTAGTCCGTAAGAGATTACAGGATGACCCCAACCTCAGCAGCAGGACCACTCTCAGCATCAACCAAGTGTGTTTGCTTTTGGAACTGTCTTCATTCCACCTACTTCACATACAAGGGTCAGTTCTTCAGGCAGAAACATGGGTGTGCCATGGGCTCCCCAGTTTCACCCATCGTGGCCAATTTGTACATGGAAGAAGTGGAAAAGAGGGCTTTGCTATCCTACCCTGGAACACCACCAAGCCATTGTTTTAGATATGCGGATGATACCTTGGTAAAAATCAAATCTCAGGACGTACCACATTTCACGGATCACATTAACTCGGTGGACCGACGCATCAAATTCACCAGGGAGGATATGAAAATTGACAGGTTAGCCTTCTTAGACTGTGAGATTTCCATCAGTAATGAGGGACATCTAAAAGCTGACACGTACCGTAAACCTACACATACGGATCAGTATCTAAGGTTTGACTCTCATCATCCACTGGAGCACAAACTGGGTGTCATCAGGACACTACAACACAGAGCACACACCATCCCCACTGACACAGCGGCCAGGGAGGCAGAAGAACAGCACATCAAGAAGGCCCTGAGTAAATGTGGTTATCCCAGCTGGACTTTTGTCAAAGCTGGGAAGGCGCCTAAAGAAAGCTCCAGC